CCGAGTGGGATTTAAGAGCTCTCCTGGCCCTGGGTCCTATGCAGCTGCAGTCTCCCATCCCTCTTATGATCCACAAGGTACCTTTGTGGTTGCCTTCATCCCAGCTTCTTCATAGGCGCTGGTCCGGCTCTGCTTGGCTCCAGAGAGGTTAGAAGTTTCTCGATGTGGAGAAGTGTTGCTCCCCTCTCCAGGGGCTCCCCCTGCAGTCGTGGCTCTGTCAGCCCTGTTAGGGTGGATTTGGGCACCCGCAGGTGGCTCTGTGGGAGACACCTCCCATCCTGCTCCCATCTGGTTAATCGGTTACTCCGAAGCTTTGTCCGCATCGCTTCCGGGCACCGGCAGCTCTGGGAGGAGGCAGGGGGCCGCCTTCTGCCTCTGCGTGTTCTCCAGCTGGGCCAGGCTGGCTGGGGTCCGGATGACACAGATAAGGACCCCGAGAGAGTCGGGGCGAGGCGAAATCCCTTCCAATCCTGGGCGCTGGGAGAGTAGTTACCATGGTAAGGAGTCTCTAGGCAGTAATGATGCATCTTGAGCTCATAAAAAAATAGTGTTAGTCACTCAATCATGTCTGACTCGGTGCAATCCCATGGACTATAGCCCGCCAGGCTCCTCCGTCCATGGGATTCTCTAGGCAAGAATTCTGGAGTGGGTTGCCATTCCATTCTCCAGGGGATCTTCCTGACTCAGGAATCGAACCCAGGTCTCCTGCATTACAGGTGGATTCTTTACCATCTGAGCCACCTGGGAAGCCCTTTTTCATTTTTCTTTTCCTTGAGCTCATAACCAAGTGTATTCCTGGAAGTGGTAGCATGCCCTTCACTTTTGAAGTATAGTCCCAAGTTAGACACTCCAAGTCTTCTTTTTTATTAAACAAAATTCTCTGGCTTTTTTTAATGGGTCAAAGTCAGATGTATATTTTCTCGTACCTTCTCTCCTAAAGGCATAGAAACCTTTGCTTGGCCTGGGGGGGGAGCCATGTCACTGATAGCGTATCAAGTGTCCTGGAGGACTGTAGCATATTTAAATAGTACACATTTCTAGTCTTTTGGTCATAAACGAGTTGGCTCCTGCGAATCTCCTGGCCCAGGGCCTATCGGTGAGTGCTCTGAGTATAATTATTGTTATTACTGCACTCCAAGCCTGGCTTAAGAAATGGGTTGAGTTAAAAGGGACATTCAGCTGCCGTGCCTGCTTGGTGGTGACGATGATAGCTACGCGTTATTGAACACCTATGTGTCCTGTTCTCAATGAGGAGCTTTTTGCGTGTGTTTCCATGTAACATTAGATCTTTACAGCAACGCTTTCAGTTCAGCATGACTTTGCTCATAATACAGCCAGGAAAGCTGAGGCCCACCAAGGAAACAGAACCCACGTCAAGGCCTAGGCCTCACGATAACATCCAGAGTTTTAAGGCTGAAAGATGGACTAATTCAGCATAAAACCAGAAATGCCTCCTCGGTTCCGTTTCTCATGAAAAATAACCAGACTGTTTTTGATCCGGAGCCTCATGCTCCAGAAGCAAAGGGCTAAAGATGTGCTGATGTCAACCACTGCCTAAAAAGGGCACTGTTAGGGGACCCTGCAAAGTCTTTTCTGATTGAAAAGCAGGAAAATCTAACAAAATTTAAAAGTCCCTTCTAGTCTCACTACCCAGCAATAGTTACTGTTATTTTTCTCTGCTTTTACCATTTTTCGAGCAGTCAGACTATTAACTCGGCTTTGAGTCTAGATTTTTAAAAAAAAAAGTTAGTCTTCATTTTCCCAGCCATTAAATATTCATAGAAAACAAATTTCATCAGCTATAAATCAAGAGTGTTGATGAACTGAGTATGTAATTATTCAAACTGAATATTTTAGGCTTCGTGGACCATGTAGCCTCCATCATGATTTTTCAGCTCAGCGGCTGGAGCATGGAAGCAGCCATGTTCCTGGCAGTAGGCAACATGTATGTGAGCGCGGCTGTGTCCCAATAAAACTTTATAAAACCAGGTGGCAGAGCAGATTTGGGCCACTGACTACCTTTGTTTGATATGATATGTCATATACAACATAATTCATAGAAGTCTTTAATTTTTAAAAATTGAGGTATGGTTAATTTCCGCTAATAGGAAATTCCCCCGAGGGTACCCGTCCCCAGCAGACAGCTGTGATTGACTACACAGGATCTTTCTCCAGACCTCACGGCTCCTGCTCTGGAGTATATGATCCCCCTTTTGGCTGTGGGCGGTAAAGAATACACCTGCAATGCAGGAGCTGCAGTTTCATCCCCTGGGTTGGGAGGATCCCCTGGAGGAGGGCATGGTAATCCACTCCAGTGTTCTTACCTGGAGAATCTCATGGACAGAGGAGCCTGGAGGGCTCCAGTTCATGGGGAGGCAAAGAGTCAGACATGACTGAAGTGACTAAGTGCGCACACACACACACTTGGCTATAGGATAGATCACGTTTGTAAGTCCTTCAAGTCGCCAGAGATTACCATTGAAAAGAGTTCAGGAATAAGTAATTTTCTAAATAATCCTAACCCGCCAAGAAGGTACGTTCAGTTCATCGTGATGATGTTTTATTTTCATCTTCTAGGCTGTGCGCAGGGACCTTGAGAACAACCATGCTGACAGGAGGGGGCCTCCCAGGGCCTGAGACCCACCCGTGGACCAGGGCTGGGCTTTAGCTGGTTTCCATGAGGGGTGTGGTGAGCCGGAGAGAGTGTGACCTCTGTGCCCGGCACCCCGTGAGCCCTCAGCCCTCTGCCAGCGAGTGCTCCCACCTAAGGGGACCTGCCTCTGGTCCTCTGGGGCAGGCCCTTGGATCCTATGGCGTGGTTCTTTCCAAACGCTTGCCCCTCGCATTTGGAGCTTGGAGTCCTAACCCCTGGACCGCCAGGGGATGCCTCAGGCTTGATTCTTTTCTAGGGGATTTGCAGGTGTGGAAATCTGTGTGTGGGAAAGCCAAAACCAAAGTCAAAATGTGGCGAGGCTCCACCTGAGAGGTAGCTTTGCTTTTTCTTCTCCCAAAGGAGAAAATCAGTTCAGTTCAGTTCAGTCGTGTCTGACTCTTTGTGACCCCATGGACTGCAGCACGCCAGGCCTCCCTGTCCATCACCAATTCCCGGAGCTTGCTCAGACTCATGTCCACTGAGTCAGTGATGCCATCCAACCATCTCATCCTCTGTCGTCCCCTTCTCCTCCTGCCTTCAATCTTTCCCAGCATCAGGGTCTTTTCCAATGAGTCAGCTCTTTGCATCAGGTGGCCAAAATATTGGAGCTTCAGCTTCAGTATCAGTCCTTCCAGTGATTATTCAAGACTAGTCTTCTTTAAAATATGTGTTATTTTTCTAAGGCCAAGGGAGCAGGTAGCTGTTTACACCTTTCTTCTGGCTCTCGTGGGTGGGTCGGGGATGGCCTCTCTGCTGAGCTCCGCAGTTGTCACGGGAGTGTTGAGGAAGAGAAGGGCTTGTGCTGAAGCATCGTTCTTTACTCCGGGACTCATAGGAGGGGCAGAGCCAGACGCTTGTCGCCTGGAGCGCAGCTCAGGCCACCGCCAGCCTGCATCACTGCCTCCATCATCTCTGCCATTGATGGGTAACAGCTGTTTCTAGGAGCATCTTTGTTAATTCCAACCTTAGAACCTGGTCTATCAGATCCAAAGCTGATCTTGTGTCTCCCCTGCCCCTTCCACCCCACCAGATCCTTGCCTGTTGGGGGCCTGCGGCCTTGGCGAGGCTCTGGCGAGGGCACTCGTGGAGTGTGCCCAGTGGCCCTACGGATCCGAGTTCACCTCCTGGTTTCCTAGCGTCCGACCCAGAGACCCCGCTGGGCCGCAGTCCTTGATCTGTAAGGAGAGTAGTGTCCCTCCCACCCACAGAGCCAGCGAGGGCGCTCAGGACCGGGGAGGTGTGCGAGGCGGAGCACAGCTGGGGGTGGGCACCCGCGTGAGCTGGTGAAGGATGACGCGGCACCCCCGACCCCAGAGGTTCCCGACCGCTCCCAGTGCCTCCCCTCCCCATAGAGAGCCTGTCCCCCACCGGAGAGCCTCCCCTCCCCATAGAGAGCCTGTCCCCCACCGGAGAGCCTCCCCTCCGCATAGAGAGCCTGTCCCCCACCGGAGAGCCTCCCCTCCGCATAGAGAGCCTGTCCCCCACCGGAGAGCCTCCCCTCCGCATAGAGAGCCTGTCCCCCACCGGAGAGCCTCCCCTCCGCATAGAGAGCCTGTCCCCCACCGGAGAGCCTCCCCTCCGCATAGAGAGCCTGTCCCCCACCGGAGAGCCTCCCCTCCGCATAGAGAGCCTGTCCCCCACCGGAGAGCCTCCCCTCCGCATAGAGAGCCTGTCCCCCACCGGAGAGCCTCCCCTCCGCATAGAGAGCCTGTCCCCCACCGGAGAGCCTCCCCTCCGCATAGAGAGCCTGTCCCCCACCGGAGAGCCTCCCCTCCGCATAGAGNCTGTCCTCCCCATAGAGAGCCTGTCCTCCCCCCAGAGAGTCTGTCCTCCCCATAGAGAGCCTGTCCTCCCCCCAGATAGCCTGTCCTCCCCATAGAGAGCCTGTCCTCCCCCCAGAGAGCCTGTCCTCCCCATAGAGAGCCTGTCCTCCCCATAGAGAGCCTGTCCTCCCCCTAGAGAGTCTGTCCTCCCCATAGAGAGCCTGTCCTCCCCCCAGAGAGTCTGTCCTCCCCATAGAGAGCCTGTCCTCCCCCCGGAGAGCCTGTCCTCCCCATAGAGAGCCTGTCCTCCCCCCAGAGAGCCTGTCCTCCCCCTGGAGAGCCTGTCCCTGCCCTGGAGAGCCTGGCCCTTGCCCCCTCACTCGTGGGGCAAGGCGGGCATGGCCTTGCAGCTGACCAGTGGGCGGTTGGCTCCAGGTCAGAGGCTCCCTGCCTCCGTGTCTTGGGGAGCTGTCTCTGTGGGCCTGGAGTGCACGGTCACTCTTTTTTCTCGGGAGCTCCCTGGCTGTCCCAGGGGAGGGCCTCACGCCCCTTTTCACAGACGCCCCGGGCCCCCTCTGTTTCAGGGCTCCAAGGTCCTGGCCAAGAAGGAGCTGGCCTACGTCCCCATCATCGGCTGGATGTGGTACTTCACCGAGATGGTCTTCTGCACGCGCAAATGGGAGCAGGACCGCAAGACCGTCTCCGAGAGCCTCCTGCATCTGCGGGACTACCCCGAGAAGTACTTCGTACGCGCGCCGGCCCGCGGGGCGTCCGGTCACACTCACATACGCTCGGGGAGCCCCGGTCACACTCGCACACACTCGGGCAATCGTCACACGCTCCAGGAGCCCCGGTCAGACTTGCACACGCTTGGGGTGATCGTCACACACATGCTCAGGGAGCCCAGGTCACACTCACACATGCTCAGGGTGATCGTCACACACAAACTCGGGGCGCCTGGGTCACACTCTCTGGGCACCCAGGTCACACTCACACACGCTCGGGGGGCCTGGTCACACTCACATTCTCAGGGTGCCCCATCACACTCCCACACTGTTTGGGAGATCAGTCACACTCACACACATTCGGGGAGCCCCGGTCACACACACACATGCTTGGGGCGCCCAGTCACACTCACACACACTCAGGGACCCGGGTCACACTCACACTCTCAGGGTGCCTGATCACACTCACACACTCTCAGGGTGATGAGTCACACACACACTCAGGGACCCCAGTCACACTCACACTCGGGGTGCCCTGGTCACACACACACACTCACCCCTCTGCTTCCCGAGACTCCGCAAACACAAAACCTCTCTCTTCAAAGCTCAGAGACTCTTGAACACGGTAGACGTGAGGGCCAGAGGTCACGCCCTGAGGGGAGGCAGGCTCAGCTGTCAGACCACCCTGCCCTGGTCACTTCCTCAGGCTCCTGTGGGGCCGTGTGTGACTGTGGCGTGTGTTGGGGGATGGTGCGTGTGACCCTGGGACCTCATGTGACCTCGGGGCTGAGCGTGTGACCCCAGGACCTCATGTGACCTCAGGGCTGGGCGTGTGACCCTGGGGCTGAGTGTGTGACCTCAGGGCTGGGCGTGTGATCTCAGCGCTGTATGTGTGACCTCGGGAATGATCGTGTGACCTCGGGGCTGAGTGTGTGACCTCGGGGCCGAGCGTGTGACCCTGGGGCTGAGCGTGTGACCTCGGGGCTGGGCGTGTGACCCTGGGGCTGAGCATGTGACCCTGGGGCTGGGCGTGTGACCCTGGGGCTGGGCGTGTGACCTCAGGGCTGGGCGTGTGATCTCAGCGCTGTATGTGTGACCTCGGGAATGATCGTGTGACCTCGGGGCTGGGCGTGTGACCCTGGGGCTGAGCGTGTGACCTCAGGGCTGTGTATGTGACCTTGGGGCTGGGTGTGTGATCTCAGCGCTGTATGTGTGACCTCGGGAATGATCGTGTGACCCCGGGACCTCATGTGACCTCGGGGCTGGGCGTGTGACCCTGGGGCTGGGCGTGTGACCTCAGGGCTGTGTATGTGACCTTGGGGCTGAGCGTGTGACCTCGGGGCTGGGTGTGTGACCTCGGGAATGATCGTGTGACCTCGGGGCTGAGCGTGTGACCCTGGGGCTGAGTGTGTGACCCTGGGGCTGAGCGTGTGACCTCGGGGCTGGGCATGTGACCTCAGGGCTGTGTATGTGACCTTGGGGCTGAGCGTGTGACCTCGGGGCTGTGTATGTGACCTTGGGGCTGGGTGTGTGAACTCGGGGTTGAGTGTGTGACCTCACAGCTCTCTGAGCGGCCACGGGGATGTGTGTGACGGCCGTCCTGTCCCCTTCAGTTCCTGATTCACTGCGAGGGCACGCGGTTCACGGAGAAGAAACACCAGATCAGCATGCAGGTGGCCCAGGCCAAGGGGCTGCCCAGCCTCAAGCACCACCTGCTGCCTCGCACCAAAGGCTTCGCGGTGACCGTGAGGAGTTTGAGAAATGTAGGTAAGGATGACCCCGCGGGGCCCCCTGCAGCCAGGGAAAGGGACCCCAGCACCCAGAGGGAGCCAGGGACGGAGGCTGGCAGGTCACCCCTGGTTAGCCTGGGTCCAGGCTCCCGGCGTTGGACGAGTGGCCACAGCCCTGCACACACGCACACACACACACACACACACACACACGCACATGCACACACACACCGCTGTGAACACACCACGTGCACACGCACCACGTGCATGCCAGCTCAACCCTGCCCTCTGCTGCTCAGCACCGGTACTGCAGGCGGCACTGAGTTCCCCCCGGGCCCCGGGCCAGCCAGGTCAGCCCAGGTTTTTGGGGTGGTTTTACCTTGTGTGGCATTTCTTGCCCATCTGTGGCATCAGCTGCCCCTGCCCCCGACAATGATCTCTGTGCCCTTGTCGTCTATCCGGCTGGTCCCGAGTCCAGAGCCCTGAATTACGCTAGGCAAGGGTGAGAGGCGAGTAGCCACAAAACCAGCTTGCTCCAGACTGGTCTCCGGTTGAACCCTCCTCCCTCGGGTTTGGAAGCGCGAGTTTTTACCCTTTTCTCCCGTGCGGCTGCTCTGGAGGCCCCACTGCCTTGTCCCTCGTCTCTCAGGAGGCAGGAACTGGGGGATCTCCCCACTTCACCCAGGTCCCCCAACCCCCACCCCACCCTGGTGCCCCCCCACACCGTCTCTGCTCCCCGGAACCCCAGCCACATCGCCTGGTGAGGCGGAGGCCCCCACCTCCTCCCCAGCCTGCATCGGGGGTGGGGGGAGGGGATGTAGGTGTGGACGGTGTGCGGTGTTTCTCTGCTGTCCCCACGCCTGGGGGCAGGGGGACCCCCGGGAGCTCTGTGATCACGCTGACCGGTCCCGCGGAGGACACAGTAGCAACACCGACTCCAACACGTGCGGGTCCTAAAGGTCTCTGACTCTGCTCCTGGGCCCCTCCGCTGATTCCTCCCTCGCTTCCCTCCTACCCGCAGTCCCCGCCTTGCTCCTCACTGGCCCCCTGCTACCTGCATCACCACCTCTCATCTTCACATCACCCAGGCAACCTGCCGTCACTCCGGGGAGAGGAAGGGACCGCTGGTCCTGGACTCAGTAGCTCCCAGCACCGAGGACCTGCCAGGAGTGGCCCATTTCCCCTTCCCTCTGGGAGCCGGGCCTCAGAGGGGCCCCAGCTGTCTGCCTGCAGACTTGGTTTGCTCTGGTATCACCCCAAAGGCTAGAACCTCCCTGTCAGCTAGCTCCCTGCTGCTCCCCGGTGAAGTCCAGCAGCCAACACAGGAACGCCGGGGCCGCTCCGTCTCGCAGACGCATCTCCTGGCACCTGCTCCATCTAGCAGGGTCAGGAGGCCTGGGGACGGGGCTGGCTCCTCCCCTCGCCAGCTGTGCCATCCGGGGGCAGGTCACCTCACCCCTTGGATCCTCCGTTCGCTCTTCTGTAAATTTCTCAGGGTTAGGAGCAGGCTTAAAGGAGAGAATACACATGGGCAACTCAGCATCAGGGCTGGCACGTCGTAAACATCTCATCAAACACGCTCTGGCTCGGGACCCTCTGCTGCCCCCTTCACCGCTCGCCTTCGCTTCCAGGTGGGGGTGTCGAGCTTCCGGTTCTGATTTCCCGGCTGAGCTTTGCCTACAGCCGGAAGGGGCCAGGCTGCCCAGAGGCTGTCCCACTCCCCTGGATAGTAATAATGACGATGGATGATAGCAGGCACTTCTGACACCCCAGCAGCACAAGCATCTCACGCAGCATGGCCAGAGCGTATGGCCGCCGGATGCAGCGAAGGAAACACGTTTTGACCTCCAATTCGCAGATGGGGAAGTTGGGGCTGAAGGATGGGGGAACTTATCCCAAGCAGCTCCACCGTTACACGGTGGGCCGGGGTCGCACCCAGGCGGCCTGCTGGGCGGGGCCAGACCCTCCGTCTCCTAGGCTCTGCAGGCACGTGGGTCGAGTGCCCGGCCTGGTTCTGTCACTTTAAGGCCTGGGGTTTCCTTTCTGGAAAAGGAGGGAACCCTGCAGATTTAGGCTCTTCTCTGGGGCACTCCCTGGGGGCTGTCCCCCATCCTTGATTAATCGAAGGGACCCCCACCTCCGTGGCAAGCCTCAGGCTCCTATGTCAGAGGGGCCTGAAAAAAGGAGGTGTGTTTTGAAACCCCCTGACCCAGCATGAACCCTCACACCCTGGGGTTCTGCAGCCTGAAGGGTTTTCGTTCTGGGTCATTCATTCTGGGCTTACAATGGCTGGGCGATGTATCCGCGAGCTTATTCTCCACCAGCCTTTCTCTTCCTGGGGGCGGGGCGGGGCGGGGCGGGGGGACTGCTTCTCCCCGCCTGGGAGGACAGGGGAGTGGTCTCGTTGCTTGGGTTGCGGGGTTGGGGAGCTGCCTGCCTGCAGCCCTTCAGGTCAGCGGGAGGGCCCCTCTCCCCTTCCGCTAAGATGTGGTCCAGCTGCCGGAGCGCCCCCACGTGGTGGTCGGGCAGCCAATCAGAAGCAAACAGACAGACCATGTGACTTTGTACCCGCCCATCCACCGCTTGCTCTTTTGGAGGTAGCGCGGGTGCGCAGGGCTCTCGCTAAAGTCTGCGGAGCACAGGGTGCTGGGCCCTTTCGGAGGCGCTGACGTTCATTGCCCTGAGTCAGCTCCGTTCTCCAGGAGAACGAGGCTCAGGGAAGCCGAGTGGACTGTCCGGGAGGAGATCCCACAGCTGGGAACAGGTGGTCCTGGGCTCACACCCAGACTGACTGCAAAGCTCCTGCTCTTTCCACTGCCCGGTCCTGTCTTACCGACCGCGTAGGAAGGGCCATCTGTTTCCACTCCGCATTTCCACCCTGCTCTCCCCTCACTGTTCCTTCGGGCGTCCTGCCATCCAAGAAGGATTCATAAGTCTGGGCCGGGCCCTGGGGCTGCAGCGGTGGGTGTGGACATAACTTCCATATTTGTTATTCATCGTTCAGTTGCTCAGTCGTGTGTCCGTCTCTTTGCAACGCCAGGGATGGCAGCAGGCCAGGCTTCCCTGTCCTTCACCGTCTCGGAGTTTGCTCAGACTCACAGGCACCGAGTCCGTGATGCCATCCAACCATCTCATCCTCTTGTTGCCCCCTTTCGGTATATTGACAGGTTAACTCACCACTGGGTAGACATTAAAATCACACAATCTTGTTTGTTTCCCAGCCATGCGTCAACTGACCACACCATAGTTCAATTCCTTAGGAAGTCTCTAGTATCTTATTCTCCTTTTAAAATGATCATATTTTTCTAGGGGATAGAATGGTTGCATTGCCATGACTCAGAGACCTCCGTAGACCGCATTCTTTGGATTGCTTTATCTATTAATATTTGTCTACATATCTGTTGTAGCTCTGCTTTCAATTGATAGGACCTCAATAATAAGTGTTCTCTAAGTTATAGTGTGCTTTTCTGATGATGGAACGTGATATGTATTCAATGTAGAGCGCTTGGACAATATAGAAAAGTGTCGAGAAGAAACCATAGTCCCTTCATTCCCCGATAATCAGCCAGCAGTTTGATTCTTGTTTTCCAGTATGTATATCTACAAAATGGAACTGGGTTCACACGCTCTATCCTGCTTTGTATTTGTTTTATTTTTTATAGTTTCAGCTGTATATGACTGTACACTCAATTTCAGAAACAATGAAAATCCAACCCTGCTGGGAGTCCTCAATGGCAAGAAATACCATGCAGATTTATACGTTAGGTAAGTCGGCTTCATTTCCTTCCCAGAAAATGGAATGCCCATCCCAAAACAAATAAGTCACAAACGACCCGCAGACCTTCTCCCGGGGGAGTGTGCTAACAACTTCGTGTCTGCAGTCGGCATCGAACGGAATCTGTTCACAGTCCTGTTTATGTCGAGAGACTCATGCTCTGCTGTAAATAATTAGGTGAAGCCTCTCTTCTCCCCAGCTTCTCCCCAGCTCTCTGACTCTCTCTCATCAAAGAGCTCGGGTCTGAACACATGAGAGACAGCATTTTACAGTCATTTTTGAGACTAGTGTGAGAGTTTATTTTATTGAACCCTTTTCTTGGAGGGTGTATCTGCTCCATAGAAATGGGCACAGATACAAGCATTCTAGAGCTTACAAAGAGGCCTAGAAGCAAATGGAGACCACTTTAGCAGCATCTCACTTAAATCCATGGGATTCTCCAGGCAGGAGTACTGGAGTGGGTTGCCATTTCCTTTTCCAGGGGATCTTCCCGACACAGGGATCGAACCTGGGTGTCCTGCATTGCAGGCTGACGATTTTACCATCTGAGCCACCAGGGAAGCTCAGGCAATAGGGAAAAGAACTTGCAAAATATTTTTAAAAGGGTGCTTCACAGAAAGAATGGAACTATATTATGAGTGTAGTGGACAAAAAAAAAAAAAAGGAAGTAATGGTCCCAGGAACCCTTGTCCATTTTCCTGCCACTGGTCCCAAGGCAGAATATTCTTGGGTGTACGGGTGTTCTCTACGGCAGTGATGGCTGAGTCCAGTTAGGGAGCATGTCTGGTCCCAAAACATCACCAACACAAGCAGGACAAAGGCCCACAAGGTTCATCCGGGCCAGGTTTGATCTGTGCTGTGCCCACCCCATCACCCCTGCTCAGCCCCCGGACGCCTGTCTGTCCTGGCTGCCCCCCCCCCACCTCCACAGCATCTCCGATCGCCCCCCATTCTCCTTCTGTCCTCTTAGCAAGGCCTCGTCTTTTCAGTGGTTTCCCCCCAGACAGACATGCAGAGGCAGAGGGAAACGTAATCATTATTGCCCTGACTGCTCGTTCTTACGCAGGAGAAAATTTAGCTTCCACCTGGTGAGGGAGGCATTTTCAGGCAGAGGAAAAAACATCCTTTTGAATCTGTCATCCATTTGGAACCCAAACCAGCTCGTTATCTAGAATCAGATACATTCCATAGGCCTCTGATTTCCCTTCACCAAAGTCCATGAATATGGACTGGCTAACATTCGTGTCTTTTCTGCCCCACGGCTCAAGAGAAGATGGTCATACAGAACTTCAAGGGGATCTGCACTATCGCTGAACAGGAATTTTAATCCTACCTTTGAGAACATGTTACGATTTCGGTCTAAAAGACTCGCACATCTCCACCATCAGATGAAAGAGACGCTCATAGAAATGTGGTCGGTTTTTGGAATCCAGATCCTGGCGCTATATTCTCATGGCAGGAAGTCGCGTCTCTGTTCCTAAGGACGAGCTTTTCCAGCAATGCCTGTGGACCCTTCTCTCCGAGCTGCCTTTAGTCTCCTTCCGGGAGGATTTACAGGCAGACCTGTCTGTTCTCCTCTCACGAATGCTCAGGAGAGGCTGGTTGGCCTGCCCACAGAGCATGGAATTGGCAGACTCCTGGGCCTCAGCCTTGGGGTCTTAGGAGGTTTGAGGGGGAACCAGAAACATGTGTTTCTGGGACACTGCTGTTGATGTCGATGGGCTGAGGGCCCGTGGGTGGAAACACATTGCCTGACGCTTGTTAGTGGTGAGATGCTGCGTTTCCGATGTTCTGTGCTCATGCCGGCCTGGGCTCGGACAGAGAAACACAAGACGGCAGAAATTCCTTCCCTCGGGCTTCCTGCACGAGGCAGAATTTTCCTTGTGCTGCTTTCTGGTTTAGTCAGTTCAGTTCAGTTGCTCAGTCGTGTCCGACTCTGTGACCCCATGGACGGCAGCATGTCAGGCCTCCCCGTCCATCACCAACTCCTGGAGTTTACCTAAACTCATGTCCATTAAGCCAGTGATGCCATCCAACCATCTCATCCTCTGTCATCCCCTTCTCCTCCTGCCCTCAATCTTTGCCAGCATCAGGGTCTTTTCAAATGAGTCAGTTCTTCGCATCAGGTGGCCAAAGTATTGGAGTTTCAGCTTCAGCATCAGTCCTCCCAATGAACACCCAGGACTGATCTCCTTTAGGATGGACTGGTTGGATCTCCTTGCAGTCCAAGGGACTCTCAAGAGTCTTCTCCAATACCACAGTTCAAAAGCATCAATTCTTCAGCGCTCAGATTTCTTTATAGTCCAACTCTCAACATCCATACATGACTACTGGAAAAACCATACCCTTGACTAGAGAGGCCTTTGTTGACAAAGTAATGTCTCTGCTTTTTAATATGCTGTCTAGGTTGGTCATAACTTTCCTTTCAAGGAGTAAGCGTCTTTTAATTTCATGGCTGCAATCACCATCTGCAGTGATTTTGGAGCCCAGAAAGATAAAGTCAGCCACTGTTTCCCCATCTGTTTGCCATGAAGTGATGGGACCAGATGCCCTGATCTTAGTTTTCTGAACGTTGAGCTTTAAGCCAACTTTTTCACTGTCCTGTTTTACTTTAATCAAGAGGCTCTTAAGTTCTTCACTTTCTGCCATAAGGGTGGTGTCATTTATAGTGGCAGGAAAAAACTGAGAAACGTGCTAAGGCCTCAGAACTGAATCCTTTCATAAAGAGCCACACACACAAACCTACACATGTGGCCCCCAAACTCCATCAAAGCAAAGCAGGTGTTTATCCGCCGGCAGCAAACATTCAGGCGCGACCCTGTCGTTGTGCAGAGCAAGCTCACGAGGCTTTCCTCGGAGGCCCCTTTTCTTCTTAAGGCCTTGGATTCCCCGCTAAACTTAGATTCCCCTCTAAACTTCATGTCAGCATGAAGTGACGGTGCTCAATTTGGAAGGAGTTCTCGAAAGGACCATCTAGGTCAGAGTTCTCGAGCTCGTGAGGAGGAAACGAAGGTCCGGAGAACGAGGGAACAGCCCCATCTTCCAGTTCATTCATCAAAGCCGGAGGCTGGGAGGCCGGGGCCTGCCCCCACAAGGGCTGGGACCGCAGCCCATCTCCGGTGCAGTGAGCAGACCTTTGAGGCCACCCTTTTCCCTTGAGGGCCGACCACTGACCAATAAGAAAAGGTGGTCAGCGGTGCCTCCAAGAGGAAACGTGATCGACTTCTGTGGTTTCGGCGTCTGCCCCATTTTCTCAGGAGCCTGCATGCGTCTGGGGCTTGACATGCTTAAAATGCTGGTGGCCCACCATGTGGGGCCAAGGGGTGGGGGACTTCTTTTTACCATCACGTTTCCAGTGGATGCTGTTGAAAGACAATTCTGTAGATACCAGGCTCGGGGTTTTAGGGGTGCAGCTCTCAGACTTAACAGAAAACGAAGCGGGTAGGTAGCCACAGACTCTGGGCCAACACTTTGTTCCAGCAGGGATGTCAGTAAAAAGGAAGCTGCTTCTGCCATTTCAACACTCTCTAAAACAGAGCTGAAGGGTGTCAGCTCTGAAAACAGGACCATCCTTTAAGTGGGACCAATCTCGCATTTAGAAAACATACAATGTGTATTACATGTCAGCACTTGGGACACCCCGCCCCGGCTGGGGGGTGGGGGGTGGTACTAGCTTTGAGAAGCATTAACCACCCTCGTGTACTCTGCTTGGGGACCCACGGCTGGCTCCCAAGTGAACTCCACCGTGAACCCGTGATCCTAGACCCTTCTCTCCCCAGCGCCTTCACGGTTTCGCAGTTGTGTGGTTTGTAACTTTTCACCTATATAATTGAAGGTGCTTCTCTGGGTTATAGTTTGAAGTTTGTGGAAAGGATTAGCAATTTGCCACTCACGGTGTTTCCTGGGTAGCTCAGTGGTAAAGAATCCGCCTGCAATGCAGGAGCCGTGGGTTTGATCCCTGGGTCAGGAAGATCCCCTGGAGAAGGGAATAGCTACCCACTCCAGTATTCTTGCCTGGGAGATCCTGGTGGGCTAGAGTCCCTGGAGATGCAAAGAGTCGGACACAACTGAGCGACTAAACAACAGTTTGGCGTGCCAATTAAGGCATGGGTGAAAAGCAACATTGCGAGGGGCCCTGTGGGTGTTCCCCGGGTCCCCGAGGCCAAGGCTGGTCCGAGTCGGGTGCAGAGCTAGGGGCCCAGGGCAGGGAGCAGGCAGAAGGGGCTGTATTTGGAGCACCGGCCTCGGGAATTGGAATTAAGTGGTTTTCAAGCTGCCGCTGGGTGTTCCACTTTCAGAGGGCATCGCTCCTTGGAAGGGTGGCAGGCCTGGCCCCACAGCACGGTCCTCTGCAAACACCACTTTCCCCAGCCCGAGCCCTGGCTGACGCCTGGGGTGGGGCTGTTCCCAGAAGTCTCCCCCTACCCCCGCCCCTCACCCCCCAGCTCTCTCTGTCCCACTGTCTTTTTCCTCTCCTTTTCTTCCCTTTCTACAGCAAGGTCGTATGAGAAAATTTCCTTTGCCGAGTGAAGGCTGGCAAAGCCCGCGTAGCCCAGCTGTACGTGGCCGCCCAGCCTCCACGCCCTCCTGGCGGTGTGTTGGTGGCAGCACTCTCAATGTGGCCTCGGGGCACCTGTCCTCTGCCAGCAGGCTCTCCTGCTCCTACAGACTTTGGGGTTGATGTTTCTTTCTAGGAATCAGTTCCCACTTCTGGTGTATAACATGCCACAGGATGATAAGACGTGCAGACCAAAAATGGAGGCACCGTAAACGGCCTCCGCCCTGCCAGGTGGACTTTATTACAGAAGAAATAACACGGCCCAGACAGCTGTGGAGCTGACGTCTGGCCCTGAGCCAGGCATCCATGTCCCACCCAACACGGTCACAGGTCACAGGGACGCCGCCCGGGAGGCTGGTGGGAGTCACAGGGCCACTGGGGAACGGTGCAGGGTCTTGGGTGAGATTTGCATTTTGAATCGAACCGGAGGGAAAAAACTGAATATGAATTCTGAATCCTGCTGACTCCTAGAAAAGGGAGTGCCTTCTCCTCTTGTTAGAGGCACACAGGAAAAAATCTTGGCTTAGCAGATGTCTTAGTGAAATGAGACAGAAAAAGCAAACCCAGTTCCCCATTCTATGCTGAGTCGCTTTGTCGTATCCGACTCTTCCACTCCGTGGACTGTGGCCCGGCAGGCTCCTCTGTCCTTGGGATTCTCGAGGCAGTAGTGAGTTGCCATTCCCTCCTCCAGGGGGTGGATTTTCCGACCCAGGGATCTTAGCCGCAGCTCTGTGTCTCCTGCGTGGGCAGGCGGGTTCTTTACCACTAGTGCCACCAGGGAAGCCCATTATTACAATAGAAAAGCACTATCAAGGCTATTGGAGAAAAAAATTCGAGAAAAGAAAACTCGCCCATTTTTTAAATGGGTGAATTTTATGATATGTAAATGCACCCCAATAAAGCTTTTTTCTTTTTTTAAGGCACAAAAGTATTATCTCCTGTCTTAGTCCAGTCAGGCTTCTAAAACAAAGTGCCACAGGCTGGGTGGCTTATAAATAGCAGAAACTTCTTCCCCACAGTTCTGGATGTTGGATGTTGAGGAGTTCAGGATGAGGGTGCCAGCATGGTTGGATTCTGGTCACACGACCACAGCATGGTCGTCCACGATGCTGCGTCCTTATGGTCGAGGGGCGAGACGGCTCTCCGGGCATCCCTTTCATAAGGGTGCTAACCGCATTCGTGGGGACTCCACTTTCATGACCTATAACACCCCCAAGGTCCCTGCTTCTCATACCTTCATCTTTGGGGTTAAGATTTCAGCATAGGAATTCAGGGAGGCAGGCGCAAACTTCCAGTCCACTGCACCCTTGTTAACCAGGCTTCACCGGGATGAGAAAAATCACCCAAGTTCTGGCAGGAAGTGGAACGGGAGGCATTGGCAAGTTGGGTACCATCTTGCGGGGCATCCACACGCCACTGTCACTTCCAAGGAAGCCCTCCGCTTAGCGGAGCGGCTGTGGCTGCCTCACCTCCTCTTTTTTCGGTTGGTTTGTGCTGGGTCTTCCTTGCTGTGCAGCTGCACACGCCGCTCTTGCTGCCGCAGCAGGAGGACTGCTCTTCACTGTGCGTGGGCTTCTCATTGCGGTGGTTCCTCCTGTGAGGCAGGGGCCTTAGGGTGCATGGGCTTCAGGAGCAGCTGCACGCGGGCTTGGTTGCTCCGTGGTCTGCGGCACCTTCCCAGGCCGGAAGGTCAAATCCATGTCCCCTGCGTTGGCAGGGAGGCCCCATCCGCTGTGCCACCGGGGAAGCCCTCCTTTACCTCTTGAGGGTGGGACAGTCCGCACACGGTCTGTTGTCTGTTTACAACTGCTTGATCACGTGCTTTTCTTGAGACCCTCTTGACGTACCCCCACCCTCCAGGAGACCCAGGAGGGGAGTTGAGGAGGGGCAAGGGTTTGGGGGGCTGGATGGAGCCACCGTGCAGAGCCCCTGAACTGCCCGAGAAGGGCCAGAGGCGCTCCTTCCAAAGCGGCCCATCTGAGGATTCATTTTAATCACGACCTTGGGAGGCCGGAAAGTGGCATCTTCTGGTACAGCTTGGTTGGGAAAGAAGACGAGTGTGGCTGACTTTAGACATCTCTTTCTCAAGTGGATAAAAGTGTAGCATTTAATTTTGGTTTAGCATCAAAATTCAGCACTTAAGGTAGAGGGTTCAGGTGCATGGGAGCTCATTTCTCCAGAAAACTAGACTCCCTGGAGAACCGAGCCGCGATGGGTGAGCCGGCAGTCTGGCCCACCGATGCGCTTTGCTGGGCAAGCGCCCTGTCGGCCCCGGGATGCTGTTAGGGTATCTTGGTCGAGCTGGGGAGACTCCCGTGGCCTCGACTGGGCTGGGGAGGGTGGGACCCAGCAAGCCTGGGTTGGGGAGGCCGGGCAGCAGGCGGTCAGCAGCCCTGTGCCCGCAGGATGCCTTCCAGGAGGAGTACTCCCGCACGGGCACCTTCCCCGAGACACCCGTGGTGCCCCCGCGGCGGCCCTGGACGCTCGTCAACTGGCTCTTCTGGGCCTCGCTGCTCCTCTACCCCTTCTTCCGCTTTGTCGTCAACATGGTCAGCAGCGGCTCCTCCCTGACACTCGCCAGCTTCGTCCTCGTCTTCTTCGTGGGTGAGTCCGGGCCGGCGGGGCCTGGGGCAGGTGGGAGCCTCTGGGGGCGGGGAGGACGAGGCCCTGGAGGAGGGGAGCACCCCGATCGGAGTCCTGAATCCCGGGGCCGGAGGACCGCCTCGCACCCTCCCGGTGCGTGCACGGGGCCCTGTGCACACGGGGGGCCAACCCCTCCGGAGACAGCTCCCGGCCACTGCGGAGGGCTCTTGTCAGAATCGCTTCCTCCTCACCTGCAAGAAAACCATTTCCTGGGTCCCAGCTGGAAGCAGCAAAGGCTCTTTGCCATTCAGAGCAGGTCTGGACCTTTTTGGGGGAAGTCAGCGCGGGCACTTCTTGGCTGGCTGCTGCGTGGAGACGGTGGTCAGCTCAGTCCTTTGACTCATCACTATGGGCTGTGACCCAGGCATCGTTTCAAAGGACTGTTGTTTCTCCACGGCCCATGCTTCCCTGGATACTGCTGCTTTTTGACGGCGGGGGTGGTCAGTTCCCGCTACACAGGCCGGGTGCAGGTCGGCCGGCCGTGTGTCCAGGGGGCTGTGGTCTCCAGGGCCCGGCAGAGGGGATGGATCCCGCCTTGCGCAGCAGCAGCAGGAAGGCAGCGCCCTCTGGAGGAGGCTGGGGTTCCCCGCAGGTGACGGCTGGAGACACGGGCGCCTCCTGCAGCTTTGGAGGAACCGACTACCGTCTCCCCAAGGCCTCATCACCCCTGAGCCCGCGCCTCGCTTCCCCCTTCCCTGGATCACTGTGTCTTGGTCCTCTCACAAAGCCTTTCACCGCTGGAGTTGGGCTCGCTCCACGGCGCCATCAACCCTGCAGCACAAAGTTCTAATACTGGGGCAGGGGGCTGGTGTTCAGAGCTGGCCCCAGGCTGAAGGCAGCCTGTTTTAATGGGCCCACGGACTCCGTGAGCCTCGTAGGCTGGGTGGGCCCCTGTCCCCATCGGGTCCCTGGTGTGACAGTTCACAGACAGGATGCTGAGGCTCTGGAAACTGAGGTTTCAGCCACTCCCCCTCCATCCACTTTTACCCGCCTACTGCAAATGGACTGTGCTGTCAGGCTGTAATGGGTGCCAGGCTCATCAAGGGGATTGAGGTAGACGTGGTCTCCGCACCCAAGGAGCCCACCGCATCTGTCCTCTCTGGAGGGAGCGCGTAAACTGCAGCTCCTGCCTCCGTATCCTGTTTTCTAGCCTCTTGGTGGTTAAACTGGGCTCTCGCCTGCATCCTACACTTTTTATCTCTTTGGGCCAAATCCCGCTGTCGGAGAAAAGGCAGGCAGGGACGCGGCTTGTCCGCTGCTCTGAAACTCGCACCAGAAGCCGTGTTGAGACATGCTGGGAACTAAAATAGCTATTTGAGCCCCTGCACTGTCCAGGTAAGTCCTTACGCTTTGCTGAAGGGTGCCTGTAAGTTGCACTGCATTCACAAAAGAACCCTGTTTGTAGGGATGGGCACCGGAAGCTACAGCTCACCACAGTCTGCTCAGCTCCACTGTCCAAGGATTGAAACTCAACACACAGAACCGCCTTGCTCTCTTTTAACGTGTCTTAGCCCAGTTAGAACCCCAGCCCCATGCTCAAGGGTGAGGCGGGGATGGTGAAAAGCACCCGGGGTCAGCCAGCTCTCAGCTGATGCTTGAGATTCACAGAGCTCCCCGCCTTTATTCCGTCAGGCAGGGCCCACCGGAGTCCCCCCGGGCCTCTGACCTGCCCTTCCTGTTTCCGCAGCTTCCGTGGGGGTCCGATGGATGATCGGCGTCACGGAAATTGACAAGGGCTCCGCCTATGGCAACGTGGACAGCAAGCAGAGACACAGCGACTGACCGGGACATGTCACCACCCGAAGGGGACCTTGGGGGGACTGGACGCCGCCGTCACCCTGGGCGGGACCCAGTGACGAAGCTGGGGGAGCCCCTGCCGTGGAGGCAGGGGCTGCGGTCTCGGCGTCGGGTCGGGGGGAGGATGTCCTTCCATCTTTCCCCCGCACGCTTTAGTGGGCTTCGGGTCTCGTTCTTTCCGTGTGTGTCTGTGTGAGTGCGTGTACGTGTGTGTTAAGAACATACGTGAGAGTGAGGTGTGCTGAGTGGGCTCGTTCCGAGGGTATCTGAGGTGCGGGGGGGAGGGCAGAAATGGGGACCTCGGAGGGTGGGGGGCTCCCTGCCATCCTTTGGTGCTGAGTTTTCTGTTAACCCTGGCTCGCTACAGAGTGAAAGACACTTTGGTAAGATGACTAAATTATGCCTCCCCCCCAAGAAAACCAAAAAATTAAAGTGTTTGGCTTCTCTCTGGTGTGTGCACACAGCGCCCCTTTCTCTTCAGAGCCTCTTCCTGCACTTTGGAGTTCCGGACCACACAGCGCTCCCGAGGAGGGAGCTGGGGGCTGGGGGCAGGGGTGCGGGGGCAGGCCGGGTGGCTGGAGGAGGTGGGTTCCCGGCGGCCGGAGCCTGTGAGGCTCTGTGTGGAGACTGCAGGTGCCAGGAAGCTAGCCGGGCACGCATGCGGGACCCAGGGACGCCCCGGAGGCAGCCCAGGTTCCCCCGGCCGCCCTGCGGTGGAGTCTGTCCGGCCTGAATCATGACGATGCGCCCGCTCCCTGAAGACCCTCCTCGAGGAGCAGACTCGTCTTGAACACTGAGATGAAGGCCTGGCGTCCTCTGTTTATCCCCGTAGCAAGCAGAAATTGGGCCCCCCAAACCAGTGCAGGCTCACTTTTCCTGGAGGGCCGTACACAGGAGCCCGGGTGCCCCTCTGCGCAGGCTCGGACTGAGCGGACACAGGTCCCCGGTCCCCCCGGCTTCCGCCTTCCTTCCGGAAGCGCAGACTCCCCTGACTCGGAGGAGCTCCGCGCCACGGCATCTATGGCCACGTTTGGAGTAACAGTCCACGGACAGGGCTCTGGCAAACCGCGGCCAGCCGCCAGACGCCAGGAGCAAAAGAAGAGCGAAGAAAAGCAGCAGTATTTCCAGAGGAGGACGATGGGAGACCAGACGCCACGTGACCTCAGGCTGAGACAACGCCGCGCGCGCCGGGTCTCCCGGGTCCGTGCACGGAGCGGGGGAAGGGCCGCTCCACGCCGCCCGGCCCTTAGTGCCGCTCTGCTGAAGCTGTGACGGGATGAGCTGTCCCGGATAGACGGTGGCCAGAGACTGTAAAGGCTCATTCTGTTCCGAGTCACGTCCTAGGGCGCTCTTAAGTCACGGAGCGCTCACCCGGCACAAGGGACGCCGTGGGAGGGGTTAAGAGGAGCTTCCTGCTGAATGGAGGATGGGGCAGCCCTGAGACAGGACCGCAGGGGTGACAAGGGGACACTCTGGTGTGCTTGTGGGAAGGGAGGGGCCGCGAGGCCCCCACCTGGGTTGACTTCCTGGTGTCCCCGAGGGTGGGGCAGGAGACCCCGGTGCCTTTCCCGCCCTGCGTCAGGCCGGGAGCGGCGGTCGCAAGTGCAGCCTCCCTGGGGCAGAGGTGCTTGGTGTGCACCTGTCACCCCCCACCTGGATGGGGCCCTCCCAGCGCCCTGGGAGACACAGGAGAGCCGTCAGGAGCATCGGCACAGCTCAAACCCTGCAGCTCATTTGCTCCAAGATCCTGTTTTTCCAACTGGCAAATGGAGATGATAACACCCACCTCTTGGGTCGTCTCTAGGGTGAAACGAGGCCGTACATGTGAGCACACGTTAAGAACCCCACAGCATTAGACAAAGAAGGATTAGAACGATTGGAAAGTTGCCTCCATGCTGCTGTGTCTCAACAAAATGTTCAGAAATTAAATGACCTTGGGGTGTCTAAAAACGTGTCGTTTTCCTGTCATCTTCCCATTCAGCAGCAGTAACCTGAGCCCTAATAGCATTCACCCACACCTTCTGCCTGGGACGTGAAAGGGACCCACAGGCCCTCAACGTTCTTCTGAACTTGTCTCTGGGACCAAACACAAAGCGACGAGCAAACGAACAGTTCTGCTGACAGCGCAGATCAGAGGGTCCCTGTTAGGGGAGGGTGGGCAGGACGTTCTCCCGGGAAGGACTGACGGCGCTCCTGCCAACAGTGCCTTAGGACCAGAGTGTGGGGAGCCGGCAGGGACCCTGACCAGCGTTTCACAGCTTCACTCTTCCGTGAGACAACATTCTGTCTGGCAGGACGGGGACCTACCTGGCCGTTGCTCCTCACCCATCCCAAGATGGCAGAGACAGCCACGGAGAGACGCATCACCCCTTCCCCAGTCCCTTAACCCGCTTTCAGGGTCTCATAAGTGCCACGGCCTCTTCAGCAGGGAGCGGTGCTGGTTCCCAGGGCGTGAAGCCGCCCATCTGTACCCGAGCAGCGGAAGACGGAGTGCAAGCATCACATCCCGTCTGACGTCTTCATGGCGGATGAGGTCGGCCTTGCTCAGAGATCAGCGTGGAAGAGAAAATGCCAAGTTTGCTGCATGCTGGAGGTCGGAGCAGGGTCCCCCCGGGTGTCAGGAGCCACGTCCTAGGCCTGCAGCTTTGAGGCAGGGGCGCTGAATGCACTTCTTCCAGGAAACCCAGCCCACCAAGGGATTTAAAAAACACCAACCATGTGAGATGGGTTTAAGGGAAGTGGACCATTTTCTGTGACTGACGTGGAGAAAGCGCAGATGCATGTTCTGAGCTGGCCGACTACCTCTTCACTGTTCGTAGAGAAAACAGTTTGCTTTATTCGTAGGATCACATGGCATTACTGGAATATCATTCTCTAGAGCCGAGTAAAAGCAGCTACAGATGTTTAAAGATTTTTAGATGTGCTTTTCTAATAGACCCTAAACGGATCTGAAAGACAGTGATTTAGATGTACAATCCAGCACCTGTCCAGCTGGAATGTAGAAACAGCTGTGACAGACGCAGACGGGGCCCGGACGGCTTCTGGTTTTCCTCCTGGAGAAGTGAGCAGTGTCCTGGCTGGTCCCCAAGCCAGACGAGGCTTTTCGGAGGCTTTAAGAACTCACTCGTAACGGTGGACGGACGCGGGAAGGCAGACTGGAGGGACCCGTCCCCCGCCACCAAGAGGAGGTTCCGTCCAGCGTTTGTCCAACGCACTGCCAGGTCGGAGTGGGAGGAGCGCATCCTCTGGGGCCACATGGGAGGTCCGCGGGGGCCATGGTTCCGCCTGCAGCCGCTGCTGCCAATCTCCCCACCTGCGCCGGAGCTGCTCAGGAGGGCGGCCGCCAGCGTGACTGTCCAGCTGACTGCGTGCTGGTCACTCAGGCTGACCTGTTCCGCGTTAGCATCACCTCCTTCAGCAGCTGTGTTTCCAATACCTTAACCATGCAGCCCCTCCTGCTGTTTCCAGAGCATCAGATGAAGCAGCTGAGATGCTCGTGTTCCCTGACTCAGGGCCCTGCCTCCAGGAGCTGGTCCCTCTGCCCTCAAGACGACTCCCACCCTGCACAGAAGGCCGGGGGGTTTGGCTCTCAGCCAGTCACCTGAGCCGCAGCGCGGACCCGGCGACAACGCACAGGCAGGCGTCCCGAGCTCCGAGGCTGCGTCTCAGGCTCCTGCGTCCCTGGCGTTGAGTGTCTCAGAGCTTCCGACCACGTTAGGCGGAGACTGAGCGCTGCAGACACCCCTGGGCTTCCTGTCCCACCGGGCATCCCCCAAGAACAGGCTCAGTGCACAGTTCTGGATCTCTAGACCTGGGAGAGCTGAGACCCACTCACAGCACCTGCTGCCACCTGGCGTCTGTTTCCGATGCTTGGCTGCTGGAGATGACCCCTCTTCTGGGCAGGAACAGCAGAATACACAACTTCCCCTCGACAGCTAGGGTGGTGTCACCTCTGCAGAGGGCAGGCTGGTCCTGCCACCTCCATACCCACCCCCCCGGACAGTGTCACGGAGAGCAGTCAGTCATGAAGGGACACGGATTTAGAGGCTTTAATAACTAAATTTCAATTGTCTTCTTTTGACGCCTTTTACTAAAGTAAAAATAGAAACCTTTCTCGAGCACAGTGAGGCCAAAGTGAAATTGGTCACCACTGTGAATTTCAGTTATCAGCAGGAAAAAAAGCAAAGGGTTTCTCCAGTAAAGGATAACTAGCTACAGATAAGGCATTCCCCAGTCCCTGCAGCCTTGTCCTATTTTAATATTAGGGTAATGCATTAATTAAAAAATAATAATAAGCACTTACTTAGACCTTTTCAGTATCTAGAAAATATCTCCTAGGACTGTTGGTGAAGCTTTTCACTGAGAAAGACTTGTACAATTTTTACCTTTATTAGTTTTTTTACACAGTCTCGTTTCACATGTTGGAGTGACTAGAGAGTTTTGAAATTTCTAGCATCTATGTTCCCTTGAGTTTTAATGAAGTAAGTGGTATGAATACAAAGTTTGGGATGCTGAAAAACAATCCGTTCAGAAGGTGGGTCAGAAACCACTAAGGCTGCACATGTGTGAGGAAGTCACTCAAAACAGGAATGATCTGAATGGACCAAGAAAAAAAAAAATCGCCTAATGTATGCAAAGAACTGTGCTTCTGAAATTTATAATAGTTGACCCAAGAAGCGAGCAAGTGGGGTGATGAGATGGCAGGTCGCTGGAGCATGTGACTAGAGGTCTGCCCCAGAACAGAGGGCTGGCGACCCTTTCACACTAAGTCAGGATGACGCTGGGTACTTAAGAGGCTGCTGGGCTACAGGGAGGGCGAAGCAGTCCAAACAGCATTGAAGTTTCCATCACCAAAACCATCTGATCATCTCAGTAGAGGCAGAAAGAACATGGGCAAAGTCAAACCTCTAGTCATGATAGAAACTCAATAAACTGGGAAAACAAGGGAATGTCTTCTACCTCATACATGGCATTTATGAAAATCCCATAAGAAACACCATAAATTAAAAGAATGACTGTTGCCAGCTAAGGTCAAAATCATGACAAGAACATGATTCTCACCAAAGCAGATCTGTTTTCTGGTGGGGGCTGAGCTGGGGTGGGGGGGTGGCGGCGGGTGGAAACACAGTTTAATAAGCTGATCCTGAAATTCATAGGGAAACACAAATGACCCAGAATAACCAAGACAATCTTGAGGAAGCAGAACAAAGTTAAAGGGCTCACACTTCCCAGCTTCAAAACTTCCTTTACAAAGCTACATTAATCCAGACAGTGGGGTTCTACAGAAGACAGCTGTGCAGATCAATGGAACAGAACAGAGTGCAGAGATAAATCCCCAGATTTGTGTTCAACTGATTTCAACAAGGATGCCAAAACAATTCAACAGAGAAAAATGTCTTTTTAAGAAATGAATGCAAGGTCTAATAAATATTGACATGCAGAAGGGTGAACTTGGACCTTTATCTGATATGATATATAAACATTAGAAACAGATGACAGAGCTAAATATGAGAGCTAAAACTATACAACTCTTAGAGCAAAATATAGGTATAAATACTTCATGACCTTGAGTCAAGTCATGATATCAAGAGCACATGCAATAAAGCAGCAGCCTGTAAGCCAGACTTTAAAATTTAAGATTTCTGTACTTCAAAAGAAGCCATTAAAATGTGAAGAGACAAGCCACAGACTGTGGGGAAAAAAACACTGGCAAATCAAATATCTGGTATTTGACTGTATCCAGAATGTATAAACATCTCTCACAACTTAGTAAGAAGACAAGTAACCCAATACAAAAATGGGCAAAAAATTCACATGGACCACTAAAGAAGACAGATGAATAGCCAACACACACAAGAAATGCTCACCGCGGTCAGAGAAATGCAGATCAGAACCACACTGAGAAACCATAATGAGACCCCACTTGACATATACTGGGATGGCTACTATAAAAGCCAGTGTCACGTGTTGGCGAGGGTTGGGAAAAGCTAGAACCTTCTGTGTTGCTGGTTGGGAATGTAGGTCAACAGAGCAGCCACTTTGGCGGTTTGACGGTTTGTTAAAAAACTGAACATGGATTTATTTACCCTATGAGCCAGCAGTTCCACTCTCAAGAGAAATGAAAATACAGAGCCACACAAAGACCTGGACGCAAACGTTTGGTGCAGCCTCATTCTTTGCATCCCCAAAGTGAAAGCAGTCAATGAACAAATAAACCACGTGGTATATCCATGCAATGGAACAAGACTCAGCAATAAAAAGGAATGGCGTAATTAACACATGCTACCACATGCACAAACCTTGGAATCATGCTAAGTGACAGGCCAGACACGCAAGAGCACAGTCTAAAACTCCACTCATACTCAGTGTCTAGAGCAGGTGAATCTACAGAGCCAGCAGATGGTTCAGCGGCTGCCTAAGGCTGAGGGACGACTGACTGCAGACGAACATGAGCGTTCTTCTGGAAAGAGGGAATTATTCTAAGCTGGACTATAACGATGGCCGTACAACTGCGTACCTGTGCTATAAATCGCTGTAAATGTTACATAAATCATCCCTCCAAGAGTGATTTTAAAGAAATGACATTACAAATGCTTCTGTTACGCCCACTTTCTCAGGGACATTAATTTCTGTGCTGAGGGGATCAGCACCCTGGAGGGAAGGTGAACACAGACAGAACGTGCCTGAGCCAGCACTTGCCCAGAGTCAGCTGCTACATGTCAGGAGTGCTTCAGATATCCTCTAAAAAGATTTCAGGAAGCTTTAAGGTCAATCTTTTAAAAAAATTTAATAGAAAAAAGAAATAAAAGAACACCATCAACAACAGATAGTTTGGGCTATTTTAGAAAACTAACTGCTGAAATATTTACATTCTGAAAAAAAGACGCTTTCTTGTCAAGATATTATTCAGCAGTATTTACACTGACCTGGCACCTATACATCTTGATTTAAAAATAAAACTGAGCGCCCAACATGTGATAACAAGGCTTGAACTTGTATCTACTCTGAACTTGCAGTTAACATCCAAAGACTTGAAAGGGCCTCCGACGTCCTTCGTGTTTCATTTCTCTCCCGCTCCATGGCGAGGAGACTAGATCCTGCAGGCCTGATGGCGCCCCTTCTGTTGACGGACATAGCAGAGACAAGGGCAGACCTCTGTACGGATAACGTGTTGGCTTGGGAGCTGATAACCACTGAGAGACAATATACGAGCTTTCCTAAAATAAACCATTTATTGAAAAAAGAACCTTTTTTCTTAAAATTTCATTAATCGGCCTTTTGCAGAACAAACCTGTGGCTTGCCAACAACAACAGAAAAGGCAAGGGTTCAGTCAGTGCACTCGACAAGACAGGAGATTAACAACGCGGCCCGGGACGCCTGCTAACACTGCAAATGCTTCTGAACCTAGAGAGGTCGACGGTATCACACTGATGCCATGGTCCTCCATCGGCCAGGACCCAGCAGGCACGGAGGCGGGGGTCCATGTACAGTAGTAACGGCACTTGGCACGCAGCTCCTCTGCCTCGTAGGCGCCAGCTCTTGGGGGGCCCCGGGCCGCGGACGGGAGCAGCAAGAGGTGGGCGCCAGCTCTCAGGGGGGCCCCGGGCCGTGGACGGGAGCAGCAGGAGGCGGACGCCCGTCACCGGGCAGCCGGCCGGCTCGGAGGGTCAGAGAGGCCGACGCCGCTCCTCGGCGCGGTCTTCGTGGAAACGTTACATACAGTAGTGATCGCAGGGACTCTCCGAGTACAGGCACTCTGCCAGGCCCCAGACGTGTCCGCTTCACTCTTCATCTGTGCAGACCTGTGAGGAAGGCAGGACAGCACTGAGCCCCACTTGTGCATGCCACGCACCAGCTTTACAGATGAGTCATCACCGGTGCCCCCCGATGCTCCGGCAGTGAGCCTGGCCCAGGGCAGAGGCATGACTGGGCCAGTGGGATGTCACCGCCAAGCTCCGGATTTACTGACTACTGACAGCATCTGTCAGGGTGTATCTGTACAATGTCAAGTCAACAAAACTTGTTTATACGCCTTATAAACAATAAACACATTTTTATTTAATTACAAATCCCTAGTATCTACACAGTAAACAGAGCTACTGGCACCTTGATTTCGCTCCCCCAAGAGTGATGTCACCACCCCAGCCTCATCTCCCCTCACCAGGGCCTGTAAGTGTTTTCTCCAGGGTTCCACTCTCCTTCCATTTCTTCTCCAAATACTCTCCCAGCAATATTTCTGTCTCCAAGCCTATCTCCTACCCCATTTTCTCCTGAGTGCCAGTCCAGAGTATTTACACGCCCCCGGCAAGTGCCCAAACATACCTCAAACTGCATCTACCAAAGAGAAAACCATCACCCCCGGCCCCAACCCTCAGCCAGAGGCCCTCCTGACCTGTCCTGGTGAGCAGAACCCGGCACCTGCTGACGCGAGCAGGGCATGGCGCCATCCTGGGCTCCTGCCCCCACGCACCTCCTTCCAAACCCGTCAGTCACACACTCACGGCCCCCTTAACCTCTCAGCTCAGTTCAGTCACTCCGTCGCGTCTGACTCTTTGCGACCCCATGAACTGCAGCACGCCGGGCCTCCCTGTCCATCACCAACTCCTGGAGTTTACTCAAACTCATGTCCATCGAGTCGGTGATGCCATCCAGCCATCTCATCCTCTGTCGTCCCCTCCTCCTCCTGCCCGCAATCCCTCCCAGCATCAGGGTCTTTTCCGATGAGTCAGCTCTTCACATCAGGTGGCCAAAGTATTGGAGTTTCAGCTTCAACATCAGTCCTTCCAATGAACATCCAGGACTGATCTCCTTTAGGAGGGACTGTGTGGCTGATCCATCACCCCTGACCTCCCTTCGCAGCCTACTGGCCATGTCAGCAGTTTCCTAACAGATCTCTTGCCACCACAATAATCGTGTCATGCTTTCCAATAAAACTGACGTCCCTCTCGGTTCCTGACTACCTTCTGACGCTATCGACGGCCACCATCCTCACCCTGTGCCCTGCCAGCTCTCACTGACACCCGGCTTCGCCCTCTCGGGAGCCAGGCTCCCTCCCGATGTCCCCCCAGACTCCTGCCTCCCCAAGCTGGCTAATCCCTCCTGGCTCTGGCATCTCACTCTGAAGGAAGCAGGAGCTGGGGTCACCTGACAGGATGAAAGTCCTCTCCTCAGTGATGCTACGACGTGGCACATGTTCCACCGTCACAGCTCTAACACGACCCTCAGTCGGTACCCAGTCCGTCCCTGCTCCCTCGGTAGAGACTGGCTGCTACCAACCCTGCACTCATGCAGACTGCATACTCTGAAGGGAAACTGTCTCACCCTGTCCCCGTGAAAGTCCCATTTAACGGTCCCAAGCGCCCCTCAAAGCACCAACATGAGTCAAGGAGAAGCGCAACGAACATCTGCCAAAGGAAAAGAAAGAAAACATACAAAATTCCCTGCACTGTACATTTTAGCTCCTTTCCATTTCAGGTATATATATATTTCCATTTCTATTTAAGCTTCCACATTTCATTAAAGTGCCAGATGCGAACAGAACGCAAAAACTTATACAGCATGCTGCCAAACCTTGACGAAGGCATGGTCGAGGAGCTGGCTGGCCGTCCACCGCATCCTGGGCTCGCTCTCCAGGCAGTGGGAAAGGAAGTCCTTCCCTTCGGGGCTTAATCGTTCGGGGATTGGCGGCTTGTGCCCCATTCCCACTTTGTACATAATCTGGAAGTTGTGTTCGTATTCATGCCAAGGTCTCTAAAAACAGGAAAAAAATCAGGCGTCGACACTACTTGACCATAAAGAAAAAGCCGCTGCCCCATCTCTTTAGGCCTCTCAGTATCGACATGTACCAAGGCTGGCAAACTTTTACATAAGCTTGCAAGCCAGGCGGTCTCTGTCACAAGTATTCAATCTTCCCACTGTAGCATAAAAGCAGGCTTAGGCTACAATGTATAAATGAATGGGTATGGCCGTGTGCCAATAAAACTTTATTTACAAAACCAGGTGGTGGGCGCAGTCTGCCTACCCCAAGGTGTGTCACTGTCCAGCATTACCTAGATGTCATCATCATCTAACACATAAAATAATACAAAAGTGTCAATTAAAAAAGCCCAACAGTTATCTTACTAGGATGTTTAATATGCTACCTTGATCAATAATCAACATTAAATTCTACTAGTGCCAAGATTATTTTATTACAATTACAGGGAAATGAGATTCATGGGGGAAAGAACTAAGTTTGCATAGCCTCCCAATTTATGCACCATTGTTTAGCTATTGAGATGTATATTCTTCAGTGTGAGAACTCGCTTTTTTTCCAATGTATGACTTGATTGAAATAACAGGTACCATGGGCATCTATGTTAATGCTAACAGAAATAATACTAGCTAATATTTATTAAGCACTTATTCTCAGCAGCTGCAAGTCGAGCCTATAATAATTTAATTTCCAACTACTACTACTTAAGAGGTTTTTAACTTTCTTGCTTTATAACTAATGCTATAAATCTCCCCTGCCAAACACAGGGGACTTTTATGCATTTGTGTGTTGTACAGTTGTTCATTAGCAGTATCTACATCAGATCAATTCTGAGGATTTTCAGATCTTACATCACACGGGACAGTTTCACTGCCCTTAAAATCGATAACGCTCTGTCTTCCTTCTGTCTCCCAGTGCTAAGTCGTTCAGCCGTGTCCGACTCTTTGTGACCCCATGGACTGTAGCCTGCCAGGCTCCTCTGTCCCTGGGATTCTCCAGGCAAGAATCCTGGAGTGGGCTGCCATGCCCTCTTCCAGGGAATCTCCCCGACCCAGGATCGAACCTGCAACTCCAGCACTGGCAGGCAGGCTCTCTACCACGAACGCCACCTGGGAAGCCCCAGCAGCCACTGATCTTCTCTGACTTGCCTGTTGTGCCTCTTCCAGAATGCCAGAAGGTTGAGAATCATACAGGATGTGGTGTTTTCAGACTGGCTTCATTCACTCAGCAATAAATATGCTTCTTCAGGTTTCTCCCTGTCGTCTCATGGCCAATTTCTTTCTGTCACTGCATAATATTCCATTGTGTGGCTTACCACAGTTTATCCATTTGAAAGATTGTTGGCTGCTTCCGAGTGGTGGCAATTATGAATAAAACAGATACAGGCATTCACGTGCCAGTCTGTGTGTGGACAGAAGGTTTCAATGTCTGTTTCTTCTCGTATCTGCTTACTTTTCTGTTTTAATTGGAGTTTTATGCTTTTTCTTCTCCTCGGGGGAGTCCCCTGAGTCATGCATCTGATAAACATTTGGCTCCTAGTTTGTCACTTGTTTTAACTTACTGTATCTTTTGACAGGTCATGGTCTCTATTTTGCAGGAAACGTGTTCCCAGTATTCAAAATGGGAGTGAAGCCACAACGACTGCTCTGTTAATGCAAAGTGCCCCCCCGCCAGGCATAGGCTCTGCTCACCTTGCCAGTCACCATCTCTATGACAACACATCCCAGGCTCCAGATGTCTGCTGCACGCCCATGGCCTTCTCCCTTGGCGCGAGTGATGACTTCTGGAGCCATGTACGCTTTAAAAGCCACAGATACAACGAGAGGAAAGGGTTACAAATACCGCATCATAAATTAACAGAGCCAAGCAATACATTAATACTATCTAATATTCCACAAAGAAGCAGCAACTGATTTGTTCAGGAGAAACTTTCTCTCAATTACATAATAAAAAATATCAAGCCTTGAAAATAAATGTCTCAAAATAATTTCTTGAATGGATATTTTAGGAGCCAAATTAATCTTCTAAAAGACAATTTTGAATGTGCAAATATTCAGATAAATTCTATTTGTGATGAAAAATATGAAATTTAACCTGCAAAAGAGAATGTGAAGTTTTATGACATGTTTCTAAATGATCAGAACAAATAATCACCATTTAAACATAATGCTGTTTTGACTAGAATAGTTTTAATAAACCCAGTGTGAAACACAAGGCTTTTCTGGGAAGGGAACGAGGCTTTTCTTCCCTCCTGTAAGTTTAAGGGAGAAATGTGACTTCCCAGTATGATGAGTGCTTTCAGGCGTGGCTCCTCCCTGCCTGCCGAGAAGTCCGGATCGCTCTCCACGTCTGCGGACCAGGAGGAGGGCAGAGAGGCAGGGTCCCGGCATGCTTGAGGGAGCCCCAGGGCAGAGCCGAACCTCGCCAGACCCACCTGCTGTCCCCAGCGTGCTGTTCACTTCACCAGGCATGGTCTGCGCGTTGTTCTTAAGCTTTACTGAGCATCCGAAATCCCCCAGCTTAATTAGTCCAGACGAGGTCAGGAAGATGTTGGCACCTAACAAGAAATGAGCAGCAGTGAGCCTCTGAAACACAACACAGGCATTTTGAAGCTTATGTGGTAACCTCAACTATCAGGAACTTGATTCGTAACATTATAAAGATTTATGAAACTTTACTTGCAAAGTGTTATCATTAGAAAGATTTTAAGCCTCATTCACAAATGGTAATACAAAGTAAAGAAAATTTAAAATCAGTGCAGACAGCTTTGACACATTCTGAACTGAAACACACACATAAATTCCAACATTAAAAACCCAGGGAGAGGGACTTCCCGAGTGGTGCAGTGGGTAAGAATCCATCCCCTGCTGGCAGGGGACGTGGGTGCGATCCCTGGTCTGGGAAGATTCCACCTGCCGCAGGGCAGCGGAGCCCACACACCACAACTACCAGGCCCAAATGTTGCAACTGTTCAAGTCCGTGCGCCTGGAGCCCGTGCTCTGCAAAGAGCAGCACATCCGCACAAAGCCCGCGTCCCGCAGGGGAGGGCAGCCCACGCTCCCCACAGCCAGAGAAAGTCCACGAGCAGCTCCGAGGACCCACTGTGGCCAAAAATAATTATTTCAAAACCCAGGGAGACACTTAAAAGAGAAATTACCTATAACCACAAATGCCTGTGGCAGCAGTTCTGAAGGTGAGAGCTTGTGTACAATCAGCAGTGGCCGTAGCAGGAAGGAAGTGTAACCGAGACCTCTCACACACACACACACACACACACACACACACTCTCTCTCTCTCTCTCACACACACACACTCTCTCTCTCTCTCTCTCTCTCTCCCCCCTGGTCTGCAGAGCTGCATCTGAAGCCGCCATCAGACTGAGTCCAGGCTGATGGGAAGAACGTTCTGCACGTGCCTCCGATCTCAGGAGCCGTGCACACACCTGGCTTGTACTCCAGCTGGAACCTGGGGTCACTGCTCATCTCCTGGGGTGGCCCTGCCTCCTGCAGGCTACCAGGCCTGAACCCCTCCAACTGAGCCACAAGGTTCAGCCTTCTGTCCAAGGTACCTCCTTCCAAAGCCACACAGAGCCCTCAGGTTAGACAGCCAGCCGCAGGACGAGCTGCTGACCCTCCCCGCTGCCGGGGCAGGCGGTCCCCAGAGCACACTGCGCTAACGCATCGTTCTGGAGCTGGCTCACAGGCCCACTCTCAGCCACACTGAGCTCTAGAGATTATCACACAGACACACATGGACGGACTTGACTCAAGGACTCTGAGGGATTCTCTTTATGGCCACGGCCAACGACACGAAGGCACCGCTTCCCGCGTGTGGTGTGTGTGTCAGAACAACTGGAAACGGGCTATGCCATGGCCTCACCCAGAGCCGGTGAAGCAAATGCCCAGACAACAAAGCAACGTGGTGGAGGGGCGGTGGGGACTGGGGTATGCCGGGCGTGCAGGAGCCGTTACAGAACGTGGGCAGTGCTTCCACCAGAGCAGCAGGCCGCGGGGCGGCCCAGCCCCACAGGGGCTGACGCCTGGCCTCAGGTTAAGGGCGAGAATGAAATCCTTCAGTCTGGGGTCAGTGAGAGAGCAACCTCGTTTGTCACTCTCATCATCCCCGAGACTCCCAGGTGCAGAGGTCATGGGCACGGTGTGGGTCAGGCAAACACAGGGGGCAGTCCTGGGATAAGCGTGGCTGCTCCCCTCACACGAGAAGGGCCAGCGCTTTCCCTCCATCCGGGTGACCACGATGACCTCGAGCAGGACTCTCCACTGGAGGACGGTGGTGTAAATAAACCCTGAAGTCGAAGTGTTCGTCGCTAGGTCATGTCCCACAGCGTGCGACCCCACGGACTGCAGCCCACCAGGCTCCTCCATCTGCGGGATTCTCCAGGCAAGAACACAGGAGTGGGTTGCCATTCCCTTCTCCAGGAGATCTTCCCAACCCAGGGATCAAACCCGGGTCTCCTGCATGGCAGGCAGATTCTCTGCCATCTGAGCCACCAGGGAAACCCAGAGAAACTGTCCTCTCCCCAAACCCAGCTGCAAATCATAACTCACACCAGCATTCCTGATTCACCGTCACTTTACATGTTCACAACGTTCACACTCAAATGCAGGAGGGAAAGAAAGGATGTTCTGATCACAGTGTCCAGTAACTACTCAGGGTAGGCCTATAGAGCAGCAGACTTCGTTTCGGAGCACAGATCTGGCTAAGCATAGTGCTGAGCAGAGAGAGCAGAGCTGTGTGCTCCTAGAAGGGGATGTATGTCCCGTGCAGTTTCCCCATGCCGGGCTCTTTACAGAAGAATATTCAAAGGAAAGCTATGTCTTTCTGGAGAAGGGAGGGCAGCCACCCTGTGTCGGGCACAGCTGACGCCCTCGCGGGCAGGGGAGTGTGAGGATCACCTTTAATGTCACGGTGAACGATGCCATGCTCGTGAAGGACGTTGATGGCCACAGTGATCTGCTTAGAATACAGCCTGATGACGTGCTCCTGGAGTCCCAGCCTCGACACCTCTTCCAGGGTGCCCTCATCACAGTACTCCATGAAGATGTACATCTCCTCCTGCGGGAGGAACCACACACGGCCCCATGTCTACCTGGACACTGAGTGAAGAGCCTGGAACGCTCCACTGGCCACGCCCCCAAGGACTCCTCCTTCTAAGGGTCAGCTACACTGTCATCCTGAAGTCTGAATTCGTCTCAAAACGGTCACTTCTAACTCCTCTATAAAGAGCGGTGTCTCTGCCTGCCTCCTCTGTCTGGAATTATACAGCTCATTGGGATAAGAGCATCGCTGAATCACAGGTGATAAATGTCTGTAATCCTTTGAAATTCAGTCTGCTATATAATCTCAGACAGGGACCAACAGGACTGTCCCTATACATATATTATTAAGTACTGAAACACATCCTTTTCAGATATGAATTTATCCATGAAAAACATTAAAAATCGCCAGTATCCAACGTCCCCAGAAGCTCATATTCCACCAAGGTGATCCCTGGTCATCCTCCAGGTGACCCTCCTTCCCTCCAAGTGTTTACTGCTAAACACTCGGGGGAAAATAAGCTGAGAGGTCTTCGCTTTCTCTCATTTTACAATGGTTCTTTAAATACAAACAAAAGGGGGAAAAAATTACTGAATAGTGTGTTCAAGAGTGGCTCAGCAAAAAACAGAAGGGAAAAAAAAAAAAAGCAACCAACAGCAGTGTCGGGGGGCACTAGAGGAATCTTCTGATTGGCAGGATGGGTTTCAGTGCTTTATAATGTTGGGTTAATGACTACGGTCTACAACTTACATTTCAGGAAGGACTCCTCTAGTTTCAGAGAGAAGGCAGAAATGGTGTAACTCATGGAGATTTCCTGAGAATTAGGCAAAGTTACTGTGCTCTGAAATGAGAAGACCTGTGATGTAGGACAGGACTCCATCTGCACCCTCACTGACCGCTCACACCGCACAGTGTGATCAAAGTTGGCTTACTCTATGTAGCTCCACACCAAAATACCGAACCAGATTGGGGTGCTTGATGCCTTCAAAGATTTTCAGCTCGTCCGCAGTTTCCTTGATGGTTTTATGGTCATTGGGTTGAAATCGAATCTGGAAAAGGAAACCGGCTGGTTACTGTTGGCACCGGTACAGACTAGAAACACGCCCACCTGACTTCCGGGCGGGCTGGCTTCCCCCTGCTGATGAGTAAGGCGCGCCTGCTTCAGCGTGTGCCCAGACAGCAGCCCGCGGGATCCCCTTCGTGACTGCAGACTGAATGAGCCGAAACATGGGACCGCCAGGAAGCAAGCACAGGTGTTAAGTTTTGGGAGAGACAGAAAGATGAGAGAAGATTCTGCTCTCACCAAGCTCACGACCACATGGGCGTGGCCTGAGTGCCCCGTGGTGAGGATGAGGAGATGCTGTGGGGTTTGAGGGGTGGGCTGCACGTGCCCGGCGCCCCACGGCCCTGGGTGTCTCCCAGGGAGCCTTCCTCGGGCATTCCCCCTCCTGCCATCCTACCTCCAGCAGCTAACAGGCTGCTCATTTCTGAACCTTACCACAAATGTCCCCCAAGCCCCCCGACCAAGCCCCCCATGGTCCCAAAGGTGTAAATGCCTAGAATGTGGGAAACATCAGCGTTTCAGATGTCTGAAATGTCAGTGCACCGCGGGAGCACTTGGGCCAGCCCTGCCCTCGTCAACACAAGTCTTGTTTCCAAGTCTCCAGCACACAGAGGCCCCAGGGGCCGGGCACTCACCTCCTTCATGGCCATCAGCTCGCCGGTGTCAACGTTGATGCAGGTGTACACCTTCCCGTACTGCCCTTCCCCTGCGAACAGGGACAGACGTGCTGCTCTCAGCACCAAGGCTGGGCCGCTCCAACTCACCAAACGTCTAGTGTTGTCTTCCCATCCCGACTCCACATTCATATATCTAGAATTGTGCTTACCACAGTCTACTACTGCAAGATCCAAACTATTTCTGAATGTTCCCTGATAACCTAAGTCTCGGGCAATCTTTTCACTACGTCTTACCTGTAAATAGAATAGAACTGACCAGCAAATCCCAGAAGAGGCATGAGGGTGAGCTCTGAGCCCTCTGGAGCACACTCCGGAGCCCCTTATGGCCCTGGAGGAGGTCTGGGCCAGGGGGTAGGGGGCATGGCCGGGATAAGCCTGCTGCCACCTCAATGGACCTCCCTGCTGTCTGTCCAGGCATGTGGGAGGTCAGCAGGGTATTCTACTAAGACACCTTCTGAAACATTAAACTAAGGGGATATAGATATATGGCTACATAAGACTAATACTGAGAATTCACACCATTTATAAAGGATCTGATTCTGTTCAGTGTCTTCTGTCCTGACAGCTCTACGAAAACTTCCTGAGGCTCAGAGTCCTGTATTACAATTGTGTTTGCTTCTCCAGACCCTAAATGCTCAACAGATAAATGCATTTGAAAGGGGGAAAAGTCTGAAACATAATCAGCTCCTTCTCCACACAATCTATCGCTAGTTATTTAACAGGAAATTAATGTTTTTGAAGACACTGACCCATTGGCATTTGTATTCAGTCTCACTTCATTAAGGATCGTGTGGGAATAAGATGGAAGGAATATAAACTAGAACAAAAGGGTAGGATTTATGGAGTTCTCCACTGGCAACTTCTGGAGTTATCAAGCAGAGCCATTCCATTTAATGAATCATTTAAAAATCTCTTTTACATTGTTCTTAGAACATATCTTGCAAGTGAAACCAAAAAATCAGAACCTTGTGCAAAAGAGAGGATGTGTATTTGCCACGCCTGTAAGAGAAAAAGACCAGCCATGGGAGACTTAACCTAAAGAAGTGTGACTTGTTAATTTCTAACAGGGACCATCTTTGTGTCCTGTTCTTCAGTTTTCTTACCGATTTTGTTTCCTCTTTGCCACTTAAACGTCACCTTCCTCAAGCCAACGTGCATGACGTTGTCGTAAGACTTGGGGGTGTCACAGACTTGACCAATGATGTTTCTTCTCCTCATTTCTCGATACCGCTTTTCTTCAAACAGTCGGACTGACTTCTGAATGGCTTCTATGGGTCCTTGCTTAGAAGCAGTATCTGCAAGGAGAAGTATAAACTCAGTCACCCCAACAACCATAATCAGGTCGACTTCCAGCAAATAATCATAAAAACAGAGCAAGAGACATTAGCACTCCATCAAGCATCACCTATTCAGCTACACAGCACCTGAATTAAAGTCCCCAAAACCTACCACCTTCAGAGCATACAATCCACGACAGGGAAGTACACACACAGAACAGAAGCTGCTCAGACAGAATGAATGGCCTCCTCTCCCAAGGCTGGTCAGACTCTGCAGTCGCCACCTGCCGGCCTCCAGTCTCCCCCCTCCACCTGCTCTCACTGCTCAGAATTTTCTTATTGTTCAGCCGCTCAGCACGTCTGACTCTTTGCGACCCCAAGGACTGTAGCCCGCCAGGCTCCTCTGTCTGTGGGATTTTGCAGGCAAGAATACTGGAGTGGGTTGTAGCTTTCTTCTCCAGGGGATCTTCTCCACTGAGGGATCGAACTCACGTGTCCTGCGTCTCCTGCATTGTGGGTAGATTCTTTACCACTGAACCACAAGAGAGTCCCCCAGAATTCTCTTACTCAAACATAAAATCTGATCATATTGTTTACGCACGTAATTTATTTCATGGTTCATCCCAACTTGCTGACCAACAGTCCAAGGCCATCACGCAGAGTCTTTCCAGGTTCCCTTCTCTTGGCCACTGCCCCTGGCCTCACTGCAGTCTCCAGACCAGCCTGACTGAAGAGCCTCCATGGACAGCGCCTTGCTCCTGGCCCATCCACCCTGGTCTCCGGACCAGCCTGACTGAAGAGCCTCCATGGACCACACCACACAGCGCCTCACTCCTGGCCCATGCTCACGCCTCCCTGTCTTCCAGCTGTCAGAGCTTACTCCCCTCCAGGAAGCTGTCTCTGCTCTCTGCTGGGAAGGGAGTAAAGCTTTCCTTTCTCTAGAGTCGGAATGGCTGGAACAAAACCCAGGCTTAACCTTTTTCTAGGCGTTTGAAAATCGGCAAGTTAATTACCTTCTTTAGATATCAGATTGCAAAACAAGAATACCTCATTCAGAGATACTATGAGAACTTAATGAAATCATACACATAAGGCAATTAGCCCAGGGCCTGGAACATGAAAATACTGGGTAAATTTTAGCTTTTGTTATTATCGCGCCTTATTTTTCCATCTAGCCATCTCTATTTCTCCAACTTATTTTATCATGATTTATAGAGAAAAGTATCTTTTACATAGATATCTAAAACAACCGTCTGATGAAACACTATTACCACTATTACTCTTTCTACATGTGACTGGGACTCCGTTCAATTTGTGTGTGTGTGTGTGTGTGTGTGTGTGTGTGTGTGTGTGTGTGTGCGCGCGCACGCGCGTGCTGATTTTACGACAACCCGCTAACGGGTCACAATCCATAATGTGAAAAGCTCCTGGCTGCCACAGTTCTCAGGTGCAGGACCCTAAGGAGGCATCTGAGAGCCTGAATGTTCTAAGAGAGCACTGAGGGCTGGGATGACTGAAAGATTACCCTGAGAAGAGAAATTCCCAGAGACTTACAAGGTGCCAATTACAGCGTCTGAGTACAATCACTTCCTAAAAACGGGGATCCCTGTTTCCCTTACCTCACTGCATGACACGCCGCGTCTACTTGGCACTGACCAAGGTTGCACGGCTGTCGGGCCGTGGGCTCCATTGTTAAACGCTTCTGGGAAACAGTCTTTTCTTTTACAGTAAGCGTTTCTCAAGATTTCCTAGTCTCTAAGATGTCTGTGCAGACTTAACTCTCCCAAGAGTTCCCAAGTTTACTTGACCACAAAGTATTTGTTTTGAAAATTATCACAAAGACCTGTATCCGTGGGAACCGCAGATGACGTGCGAGAACCCCTCCCTGTCACCAGGCTTGAGCTGACAAACGCCCCCCTGACCTCCCAAACCCTACACGTGCCTCATCTGCCCAGCCTGGAGAATGCGGCTTCACGGCTGCTCCCGCCTCCTGAGCGCCCCTCGGGGCCACTCCCCACCTCCCCCGCGACCCAGGCCCGCCCCCCACTCCCTGGACACAGGAGGCTTGCCCGCCGCAGGGGCCCAGGGGCCACCCACCGGCTGCACGCAGGCCTGGACCACTGAGCCCACCGCTGAGGACTGGCCTTGCCGAGGCCTCCCCACACCCTTGCAGCCCCACCTCCACCTCCACCCATGCTCGCCAGGCCAGGCCGGCGGCTCTGGTCTTCAGTCACCGGGCCTCCAGGCGTGTTTCTCTTTCTGTACTTTCCCTCCTGGCTGGACACTGACCTCCTTCCTGCGGAGGCCAGCCCAAGCCTCGGCCCTCCCTAAAGCCTCCCGGGACTGCTCCAGGCCTGCTGACAACCCTCCTGCTCGGTCGCACCCGTTCCGGAGGGGCGCTGTGGGGGCAAGAGTGGGTGACCTCGGCCCAACGTCTGGCCTCTCAGAAACTCGGATCATTTACGAAAAGAGAACAGGATCTGTTCTGCCTAGGTTATGGCTCAAGACTGTTGTGCCGAAGAATATGTGAAAGCATTTTGTGCTAGTCCAGGGCCTTTTCTGCTATTCATTCTTCTGGTTCATACAGACTGATCACCTGCTGTATATGACAAATGCTTTCTCTCAGCTTCTTAGCATAATAGGTAAGTGGTTATCTGCTTCACAAGTATTTTTTATATTCCTACCATGTACAAAGGGCTTCCCAGGTGGCGCTAGTAGTAAAGAACCCACCGGCCAGTGCTGGAGACATTAAGAGA